GGTCACCACTGCGGGGGGCGGGGAGCTGTGCCTGGCTTTGGCAACTCCTGGCAAGGAGAATCCCACAAGTTCCTTCTCCACAGGCCTTTGGCCATTAATGGAAAGATTTAAAAAAAAAAAAAAAAATCTCCAGCAATAATTTGGGTGGCTACGTTTCCGTTTTAATTTTCAGTTAGGTCACTGTAGGTCTGCACCTCGCATCTTTTTATTTTAGCTTGTTCTGCATTTTACTTTTAATACCTGTTCTTCCATTACAAGCCATCCCATGTGTGGGTTTGTTTTTTTTTAACGGAAAGGTTAAAATAACTCTTACTCAAAAGGATGAACCGTTGGAAGTTTTTTTAAACAGTGGCTTTCCAAGGAAACCTAACCCTGTACTAAATTCCAACAGATGCCCGTTCATCAGAATCTGAAAGAACTCCTTGCCATCCGAGGAGAACTGCAGAAGAGGGTGGAAGAGCTTCAGCGGGAAGCAGCCACACGCTCCATCTCGTCTTCATCCGAGCGAGGGTCTTCTCCTGCAGTCACCCCAGTCCACACTTCAGTCTGACCTGCCAGCAAGGCCACGAGGTTGACTACAGACGTGTATCTGCTGCCAGAAACACCCCCCCCCGGTGTTATTGGGGGGAGGGGGGCATCACCTTTCCTTGGGGTCTGTTACAGTAAGGCCAAAACTATTTTCTTGCAGTATCAAGCGGTAGAGTGGTGGTTGCTAGTATCTTTCTTAATATTTTTTGATGTTGATAATTGAGTTTATAGCCAAACCCTTACTTTTTGCAACTTGCAGCAAAACGAGGGATCTCTTTGTTGGGCAAGCAATGTGGCAAACGTATTGCAGTGTCATCTCCCAGCGAGACATCATATCAAGTGGGCTTGATTTCTAAAAAGGGAAATCTATCTGGTTTCCTTGGTACTAAATACATGGGATTTCCCCCCCTTTTTTCCTTAGAAGAGGGGGAAGAAAGCCCCAGCAAGCATTGTATTTCTGGGAACAGTTGTAGATGACCTGATGCACTTTGAAATGGATTTTTTATTACTATAGCAGTTGTATATTTTGAATGAAGATGCTAAAAAGCAATGAGCAGGATTTGTTACTTCTGAGACACACCTGCTGGTTGTAAAAGTAATCTTTGAATCCGTGGATTGTTGAATACTATTTTTTGCACGTTTTCTGTAGTTACTGCTCACTTTTGTCCAAATGAAACAGAAATATGGAACTGACTCAGTTATTTCATTGTTTTCCAGAGTATTTTTTAGTTTTGAATGGTCTTTACACCTTCCCTAGGCATCTAAATAGGTGAATCGCAGGTGGACATACTTTGTTAATAATCTATGTACCCAAGAGCTCGCTCTCTCTCTCTCGTGACTGCAAAGGAGTCTGTGCAAAGCCAAACTATCTTCAATGTGAACAGAAGCTATTTCAAATGGTTAGAAAAGATAGCAAAATTGTAACAAAGGAGCTAAATAAAAAGTTCTTACACAAGTTGATTTTTTTTTTTTTTTTTGCGGGTGGGAGGGTGCTTTGAGACGGTAAAAGCTGCTGTGTTTTTCTGTCTTTTCTCCTGAGCAACGCAATTTATTCCTCTCCTAAAAAGAGCATGGCTGCCATTAGTGACAGACAGTGGGCGTCTGTGACAATCTTAGAGCTGAGCAAGGTGAGTCACAAGCAGTGGCTTGGTTAGTCAAGGCTACCTTTCATACATGTTGCCCAGCTGTTCACTTCTGTCTCAAAGCATACCCAACAAAACCATCACTGGGGGAGTTGGGGGGGAAGTATTGATGGTGGTACTGTCCCCAACCTGGACTTCTTTGGCCAAGAAAGCTGGTTAGAACTGCTATAAAATGCATGGTTTGCGCTGGCCACCCGTGATCCCAAACTGAACGTATTTCTGGCGACACTGCTGAAATTTGGTGGCACGCTTATGAAAAATCTGTCTGGTTTCTGTCATTTTGAATGAAGAAAACTTTTAAAGAGAACTCCCTCCCATTCCCCCTCCCCAAATGGGAAAATCTATCCTCACCCACTTGGCGAATATACACAGTGAAATCCCCCCCTTCCCAATTTATCTGGCACAGGTTTCTCATCCTTGCCATGAAGAGATCTTGACTCTGACCCATCTTTCATGCCTGTACAGGTAGTCTCTGGGTTAAGAATGCCTAGTTTATGGACGACCCATAGTTAAGAACGGAACCTATTGTAGCAAAATTTGAGTTAAATACACAATGGTTCAAGTTCATTACACAATACTACTTATACAGTATTATGCAGTAATGCTGTTCCACCCATAGTTAAGAACGGAACCTATTGTAGCAAAATTTGAGTTAAATACACAATGGTTCAAGTTCATTACACAATACTACTTATACAGTATTATGCAGTAATGCTGTTCCAGCTTACATACAAATTCAACTTAAGGACAGACCTTGGAACGGAACTCGTTCTTAAACTGGGGACTCCCTGTACTGATGGGGAAGAAGGAGAGGACAACAGACCCACCTCCCTCCCAGCAATGCAGCTTGAAGCGGGTCAGCGGGTTGATGGAGAAGATGCGGCTTTGAGTTGCCAGCGCCTCATCCTCACTTTCAGTATTGGGGACCACGCAATGAACTAAGCATCGGACTGAAGATTCCTCCAACATGCTCACGTGCCTTATTCACAGGGGAAGCTGTAGACATAATCTCTGATTCAATGCAGAGGTCTGGTGATCAAAGAAGACAGGTCAAAACCCCACAGGTACACCCCTTGCAACTTCACTTTTAGAGACTGACAGGTTGGACTAGCGACAACATACAAAAATGGTTGCCCCATCAGGAAGTTTTCCCCGCCTCTATTACAGGGGTTTCTTCCCTCCAACATGGAAGTAGGGTTTTGCAATAAAAAGGAACATCCCTTGCGAGTGCAGGAAGAGATCCTTTTTTACCCAAGAAAGTAGGCTGCGCACTGGTGAAATGCACCCACAGAGGGGACCCAAGCACACCATTTTGTTGTACAAGTCTTTTTTTCATTTATTGTTTTTCCAGTTTGTACTTCAGCATTCAAGTTTGGATAGCCATCCCCCAAAATTCTTATATGCACTTTAGCAAAATGAGTCTGCCTTTTTTTTTTTTTTTTTTTTGGGGAAACATAATACACAATTTTCAACTGGGACAGATCATTTCTGTATTAGCCAACGGTATGTATGTATTGCTTAAATAAAAGCTTCACTTCTTTGGACACAATCTCCTCTTTTAATTGGTTGTCTCTGATCTCTTATATTCTTTTCTTCCCATTTTTTCTTTCTTTTTTTTTTTCCTTTTGCTCCCTTTTCTGCTATTAGGTTCTACCCTTCGGATGAACGCTAATTTATACAACAGCAGAGCCTTGGACAATGAGAAAATCATTTGCTGCCAGTCACATGAGAAGGTGACAACTGACGCTGGTAAATGTTTGCCAAACGAAAATGCAAGCCGAGAAGGACAGAATGGTAAAATCCAAGCCAGTTCTTTAAAAAGCAGAAGTGGCTAAGTTTCTCCTAGCCTTCTCATAACAGGAAACCCCTTTCTTTTTCTCTAATTAGATGTCTCCTTTTAACTTCCAAGAACACGTGTTGCATATAAATTTAGGGCACAATATGCGGTCTATATATATATACATCTTTGGCCTGATGGAAGACTTTTAATGCATGTTATTTGTCCTGCTCTGAACATCTGGCTACACTTACATATGTGGCGTTTCAGCTCACAGGTTGTTTTAATTACGAATATAAAAAAGCAGAGTAGAAAAACGGAAACGGACCCCCCCCCAGAGGTGTTGTACAACACAGCTGGCACTGCTACAGAGAAGTTAGCCAGGAAAAAGCCAAACATACTGTTGGTTGAATATACAGACAATGGACAGAATTCCCCAATGGGGAGAGGTCATAGTTCAGTGAGGGAGCACATGCTTTGCATGCAAAAGACCCCCGATGTCCGCCCCTGGCATCTCTCCACTTTCCAAGGATGGCCCTAGCAAGTCAACAAAACCGCCTCTATGCCCGGAATCTCAGGCTCAGTTGTGCTGTTCCTAGATGTGGAGTTTTTATCTGTTCTAATCTCAGGTATTTTAACGGCAGCAGAGTTTGTAGACCTCTCCTGCTCCACAGTAGGATTTCTGGAGGGCTGAAAGGCAACAGGGTTGGCTTTTCCCCATAGAGCCATTGCTACTCCTTCAGCCTCCGGCTTGGCAGCATGGAGATGGGGCCCCATGGAGGCCAGACTTTGCCTAGGCCATCAGTTGCTCAGATAAAGAACCAGAGTCTTTTGGGGGAGACTGCACCGTTCATCATGGTCTGGGGAGGCAGGAACAGTCACCGTTGCTCTTTGCGCCTCACGTTGAGTTGTACTCTACAAGTACCTCCCTTTTGCTGGATGATCTAAAATTTACATTAAGGCATAACCATTTACCAAATTCATATAAAAAAACTCTGGGGAAAGGAAGTACCTCAGAGGTTCATCAACTGCCACATCTTGAAAACCTGGTAGCTTTTCTTAACGTAACACTGGGGGTTTTTTGTTCATAGAATCTGCAACACATACATCTTTCGAACATCTATGTGGGTAGCGGGTTATTTAAACTCTTCCAATACACAGTATTTCAAGATGCAGATCAGTGGCAGGACAGTAATAGAAAGACAACAAAACAGACAATTTACATCTACAGTAACATTTCCCCGTAATTGGCCAAAAGAAAGAAAGAAACTTCATCTATGTGAGAAAATGATTTCTAGTCCAAGAACACTCACCATTTTCCCACTATTTATCGAAAGATGCACCACTATACCCTAGTCTAATGTTGGATGTACTTGATTATCTTTTTTAAAAAAGAACTACAGTAGTTGGAAATAGGCCGTTGTGTAAATTCATCTGCATGGTTTAGTTCACCTGGACTTCTCTACCTTACAAAATTTAGAAAACAGAAACACGAGACCAGACCTTACTCTCTAGTATCTAGAGGCCATCTCAAACGTGGAGAACCTTCAAAATTACGTTCCTAAGTAGTTCTTGATCAAACTGTGAGTCCTTCATAGCAGAGTCCCACCAAGGAGAAGTCAGTGGCTTCCTTAAGTAAGCTGCAGTCCTCCTTTGATTCACCCCCCTTGGCCCCCAAGTCCTGGTTTAAGTCTCAAAGAAGCCAACAATAAAATTAGTACATGAGGGGTGGGGTGGGGATAAAGCAATATGAGAATTTAGTACATCCAAAATATACACACTTGTTTAAAGGTCTTATAAAGCTTATGAACTGCAAATTATGAAACCAAACCAGAGCAGAAGGAATTCCCACAGTTGTCAACAAACTTCTGGGCTGACATTTTTAATTGCCTTATATTGATGTTCCACTGAAATCAGTGGGATTCTCCTCCATCATGAATAAAGATGGGGGTCTCAGGGTAAAATTTCAAGTGATTTCCTTAAGCCCCTATAGATACAGCTGGTAGCGCCCCTTGTATTAAGATATTACACAGAAACTTCCACAGTGCACAGCAGCGTCTACACAGAGAGTTCCACAGGCCAATCTCCCCCACTCAAATGAGGGCTTTGATCTGGTGGGTCCACAAGATGTGGTCAAAAAAAAGTAAATATGGCAGCCATGACAGCACGCTTGGAAGCTCTGCCTATTCTTGAGTATTGTGGCCACCATCCAGACTTCTTTCACCATACCGTGCAGACCCTCCCACACCCAAGCTCCGAAGCTTCCAAATTCTCACACTCCTACCAGAAAAGTCCCCTACAAATATCACCCAGGATTAGTTTGTGAATGAAATCTGAATTAGGTATTTCACCTGCATTTTTTTCCCAACACCGTGTAATACATATTATGGACCGATACATGCACTAAAGAGAAAAATAAATACCCTAACCTTGCATGTGAAAATGTACACCTTGCTACAATGGTGAAATGCACGGCTAACAGGATTTAGGTTAAGAATTACCAACACGGGCCAACCTTTACGCTCGTTTCTTGCTCAGCTCCACAGCACCGGGCTGGCTGCTGTTCCTCTGGGCTAACACCTGTAGTAGTTGTAGTAAACATTCTCCCAAAACAGGGCTAGAAAGTCCCTTTGTTTAATATCCTCTGGTGCCCCTGTTGGCATATAAAAATAACTGGGATCCAGCTAAATTTAAGAAATACCAGGGATCAAGGTTTGTTTGGGGAAAGGGCAAAAATGGGCAGCAACATGGGCTCCTTTGGTGAATATCCCTGCCTTCCAGGAGCATTTTTGCACCACTGCAGGCCATGCAGCGGTCCTCACCTTCCCCTCTATCAGCCAACCAAAGGGAGAGCATGAACATTAGCTAGCAGTACCCTTAGCCTTCTCTCGTGCTTTCTGGTCAAGGCAAGGGGGAAAAAGCCCAACCAGCAACTTCAGAGGCACGATGGGAAGAGCAGCCAAGCTGCTGTTTGAGATGGACAGGGTGCCATCCCATCCTGCCCCCAGGGATTGTCTCACCTTCCCACAGATGGCAAAGCTGCCTTGTCCCTTACCCCCTGTTGGGAATGGGGAAAATCCCAGGAGTCAGGACACCAGGAGAATTCCCACCCAGGACAACCCGTCTGTGCCTGCAGCCCAGCTCCAGAGGAGACCCCGCAAGCGGTCTTCCTTCTCAGGGCTTCTCCAAAAGGAGCAGCCGAGCCTTTCTGATGTGCCAAGACACCCAGAGGCACAAAGAGAAGGGCAGCCCCCATCTAACAGGAAAATCGCTCCCACGTACAGAAGGGGGTCGTTGAAGTCTGGTTCCATCTAGCTCAGACAAATCCCCAGCCTCTAAATATCATTTAAGCAGGCTCCACACTATTCTCCTCTCCTTGAAACGGACCTTCAAACTCTGGGCCAAAGAATAAACACGGTTGTCCAGAAACCAGCTGAGCTCAGATTGAGACCTTGGGGAACACCAGGCCCGAAGTATAAATTTAGTGGGATGTGACGATGGGCCGTAAAATACTGGCACAGAAATGCTATCTGCTGGAGAATGTTTGAGAAACCAGACCTTGAAAACCTGGAGGTGCAACCTTTCAATATAATCAATACCATCCATGACACTTCATCGCTTGCATTTCCCAAACCAAAACTTTGTCCCTTTGCTGGATTCTAGCCCGTTAATTCTATACTTATCCAGATGCCTTACTTCAGTTTTATTTGGAGTGCAGGGGCAAAATTGGGAGGTGTGCTAATGAATCACCACACCCCACCAGGAACCCTTCAGCACGCAGCACGTCCCCTTGAGCTGTTCTTGCGGTCCTTAAAATTCAAGCTCTTGAGCCCTCTGCAAAGTTGGAGCAAGCAACCGTGAAGCCTGCAGCCCATGGAAAGGGCTCTTTTCAGTGGTCAGCACAGCAAGCGAGGTCCAGGTTCTACTTTAGCCTCCTGCTGCATATTTACACAGGTCCCTGGTCCTCCTCAAAAAACAACTGAAGATTGTTCATAGCTGAAATAAAACCCAGTTTTATGGGGCAACGGTCTCTTCTTGGCCTGGCCAATTAAGAGCTGTCACACTGCTCTTGTTCCCTCTTGAGATCTAGCTACTCCAAAGAGATCCCCAGGCCCTCAAACGTTGCTCTCAGTGGAAGCTCCACATGTACGCCAACGGCTGAAATTTGGCTAAAACCCTTTTCGTAAAGGGCTGGTTCCCCCATTTTCACACGGTCTACTTTGGATTGGTCATTTACAGGCACTTCAATTGTTCTCACACCTGTTAACTGCTACCTTTGCTGCCGTCTCACTCCCCCCACCCCATCAAAATGTCATTCATGAACACCTCTAGCTCTACTATGAAACACCACTTGGAAGAACCTTTGCGTTTAGTATTCAGCCTGACCAAAGCTCCTACATGACCATGGCAATGTAAACCTACAACTCTTCACAAAACGAGAAAATCAAACCCGAAAAAACATTTTCAACCAGTCTACAGCCTACCACAATAATAAGAAGCCTGCCCTAGTCAGGGGAATGCACATTTAAATAGCTTTGGGTCCAAATTAAACGTTTGTAAAAGCTAAATTACAAATATGTGAGAGGGGTGTGTGTGTGTGTGCGTGTGTGCGTGTGTGTGTGTGTGTGCGCGTGTGTGATGTGTCTTTTTATTTTATTTTTTTGCCAACGATCGGTTCTTTTTAAGCCAGACGTCCGAGATTCAGACTTTTGCGTTTTCTTGCGGTGGTGGAGCTTCTGCTGTCTGTGGTTCAAGGACGGAGTATTTCACTAGGGAAGAAAGGAGGAGAAAGTTGAGCCTGCTATTATAAGAAATTATGAAGTATATAAGCTTGCCTGCAACTATAGAAGCCCACCTTGTACATGTTTCAGTTGTTCTGATGGATGCTGTTGATCAGCGTTTCTCAACCTTAACAACTTTAAGATGCATGGACTTCAACTCCCAGAATTCCCCAGCCAGCATAAACACCTCTGTAGACGTACCAGTCTGTGCTATTATGATCTCAATCAGGTAGGAAGTATTTGTAGAATTGACTGGCTGGATGACTCATACAATAAAAGCATTTTTCCTTGTAGTGAGTAGTTGTGAGATGCTAGCACAGGGGCGGGTAACCTAGTTCTCCCCAGATGTTTTAGCCAACAATGGTCCCAGTCGCTTACTCTGCTCTTTAGCATTAATCGGTATTGAAGTCCAAGCATGTAGCAAGCCCCAGATTACCTCCATCTGTACCAGAAGAATTGCTTGCCATGTTATATTAACTTGCTTCCAGAGGGATTCAACAACCAATTTGCTTCAAAAACCAACAGGTGGAAGCTCTATCATGGGAGACCCAAGCTTAAAATAAAGAGGAATTTCCTGACCATGAGAGCTATTGAAGAGTATCTCCTGGAGTCGTAGGGGCTCCATCACTGGAGGTTTTCAAGCAAAGCTTTGACCACCATTCATTTAGGGTGGTCTGAGGATTCAAGCCCTGGACAGGGGGTTGCATAAGAAGACTTTTAAGGTCTCTTCTAACCCTATGAGTCTATGAGATGCACATCACTAGGAAACAAGTACTTCTACTTTTCTACCACTGATGTTCCTGAAATGAATACTCCTAGATCACCAAAGGAGTGTTATATTCTTCTTTTATCCATAAGAACATTCACAGGATCATTTGAATTACACAGACACACAGCAGCTCCCAACCTGGTATCATTTCTCCTATTTTCCACCGTCGACATACCTGGGAGAGATTTAGATGAACCTAGGGACTGTTTTTGTGACAAGTGAGCGATATAATTTACCTGGAGGCCACATACCTCTCAGATGTTTAGATTCCAACATGAACAGAGAGCTGGACTGATTGTCCCCTTCCAATTTTGTGATTTTACATAGTCTTTAGCAAGGTTAGACAATGTGTAAGGGGGCATGGGGCAGGGGAGGCTGGACACCCTGGGAAATCAAGTTGTTGTTGCTGTTCAGTCGTTAAGTTGTGTCCGACTCTTCGTGACCCCATGAACCATATCGTGCCAGGCCTTCCTGTCCTTCACTGCCTCCCTGAAGGCATAAAAACCCATTGGGACCTTGCTTCCAACAAAGTGCTTTTCAAAACTTTTTTCAGGACCCCTAAGACAGGGTTCCTCAACCTCAGCAACTTAAGATGGGTGGACTTCAACTCCCAGAATTCCCC